ATGGTCTTGATCTCCTGACCTCGTGATCCGCCCGTCTCGGCCTCCCAAAGTGCTGGGATTACAGGCTTGAGCCACCGTGCCCGGCCAAATCTTTTTATTTTTTGTAGAGGTGAGGTTTTGCTATGTTGTCCAGGCTGGCCTCGAAACCCTGAGCTCAAGCCATCCATTGGCCTTGGCCTCCCAAAATGCTGGGATTACAAGTGTGAGCCAAAATACCTGGCCAACATTATCTCTTTATTTTTATTTTGTTATTTTTTATTTTATTTTTTTGAGATGGACTCTCACTCTATCACCCAGGCTGGGGTACAGTGGCACAATCTTGGCTCACTGCAACCTCTGCCTCTCCAGCTCAAGCGATTCTCCTGCCTGAGCCCCCCTAGTAGCTGGGATTACAGGCACACGCAACCATGCCTGACTAGTTTTTGTATTTTTAGTAGAGACAGGGTTTTGCCATGTTGGCCAGGCTAGTCTCGAACTCCTGACCTCAGGTTATCCACCCACCTTGGCCTTCCAAAATGCTGGGATTACAAGCATCAACCACTGTGCCTGGCCTATTTTTTGATTTTTTATTTTAAGATGGAGCTGATCTCAGCTCACTGCAACCTCCACCTCCTGGGTTCAAGCAATTCTCCTGCCTCGGCCTCCCAAGTACCTGGGATTACAGGCACCCACCACCATGCTGATGTAATTAATTATCTCTTTTTTTTTTTTTCTGAGACAGAGTCTCGCTCTGTCACCCAGCCTGGAGTGCAGTGGCACAGTCTTGGCTCACTGCAACCTCCACTGGGTTCAAGTGATTCTTCTGCCTCAGCCTCCTGAGTAACTGGGATTACAGGCATGCTCCAACACACTTAGCTAAGTTTGTATTTTTAGTAGAGATGGGGTTTCACCATGTTGGCCAAACTGGTCTTGAACTCCTGATCTCAAGTGATCCACCTGCCTCAGCCTCCCAAAGTCCTGGGATTACGGACATGAGCCACTGTGACTGGTCCTTACAGGTTTAAAACTCTTGATATTATGAAATAGAATTTCAGATTACCATAAGTCATTTGTTTTGCCAAAAGGATGACTCAAAAATTTGAAAAAGCAAAATGCTTTGATTAGCCTTTACTATTACATAAAAATCCTGTTCAAGAGAGAAAGCCAAATTTTACCCTTCCATAAGTTTGCTATTAATGTTAACCCCAATTTTAATGAAATCCTATACACAATTCTATTTACTCTTTTTTTTTTTTTTTGCATTGGCAAGACTTATTAAAGTGAAAGCGAAAGTGAAAGTAAAGCTTCCATGGTGGAAGAGGACCCAGAAGCATTGCCATTTTTGGCTTGGGTGTCTTATGCTTATATCGCCTTATGACCTCTCCCCTTTTTCTCTTTATGTCATATAGAATTAGCTTATTTTCTGTCCGCTTGTAGGTTGGCAGGCGTGATTGGTTAAAAACATCAGGCTACAGCTAGAGCTTAAACTCCCTGTATGATTGGTTGATTCAATCCCTTAGCTTGCAGCTATGACTTATTTTGGCTTAGGGGAAAGTTCCCTTAGGGAAGTCCCTATTGACACAGGAAGTCCAGCCAACTTAGCCACTTAATCCCTCAGTCTCGCCTCTCAAAAGGAAAGCCCAAGTGCTATTGGGAAGTTGGGCGACAATCATTCTAGCTACTTCCTGCTGACTGGGGCATAGAAGGGGCTCTGCAGTTGAGGCTTCCTCGGGAGGGGAGTCTTTGGTGTCATGGTGCGAGAACAGGTTGGTGGGTCGGTCTGGGGGTTCTCGATAGTAGGTGCTAGTGGTGGTCATTTGGGGCTCCATTTGTAGAATCATTTGCAGTTTCATGGATTCTATTCTGGATGAGACAAATTTTACAAGGAGGTTAAAAATGCAGGGTGCAAAGATAAGCAACATCATAATAGCCACCAAGGGTCCCAAGAAGGGGAGAAGCCAGGGCATCCATTGGTTGACAATATTCCAAGGTCCAGTGTCTTGGAGCTCTTGTGGCCAGCACTGTATCCGGTCTCAAAGCGCCTTAACCTTTTTGGTGACAATTCTGGATTGATTAATGAAATAGCAACACTCTTTTTCTAGAATAAGACAGGACCCACCTCTTTCAGCTGTTAATAAATTTAAGGCTTTCCAATTTTGGAGGGCTACTGCTGCTAAAGAGTTAGGCTAGCTTTGTAAGGTGACCAGCAAATCTGTGACTTGTTCCATGTCGTCATTTAACTCTTGTGATAATTTGTAATATATTGGGGTGATCAGACCCAACACCAGGCCATGGGGGCTATGAAGTCTGGCGGAGTCAAAGGAATGAGACAAGACAAGAGTGCAAAAAGTGGGACGAGGGGGCCAATGCTAGTATGGAGGCTGTGAAGGCCCCGAGCTCTTGAAGCCCACACTATTTAATGGTGATCAAACAAAGAAGCAGGTGGTGAGGATATGGGGGTTGAAAGAAAGCGGTGTATCAAGCACATGATCTACAGCTGTGATGGTTTAGCATTTTCTTTGACGCATATGGAACATGTTCTGCTACTTAAGATAATGGGGAACATGTTCTTCTAGTTTAAGATACAATCGATCTATGAGCCTGGGAGGGCTAGAAGCAAGGAGCCAGCATGTCTAGACACATTCCAGAGGCCATGAGGGGTTTTATGCCCTGAGCCCTGGATTCCATCCAAGCCACAAGGGGTTTTATGCCCTGGGCTTAGAGTGTGGTGCAGCAGGGCAGCTTTCCACTCTTTGGCACAGAGCTTGGTGTTCCAAAGGCCATGAGGGGTTTTAGACCCTGGACCCCGGACATGTTTCAAAACTCTTTTACATTATGTCAGGCATGCAAGTCCTGCCTCAGTTTTTTTCCCAACACTCCACTTTTCCCCAACAGTAATAGAATTGGGTGGAGGTGGTAAAGCCTCCAATGACAGTTCCTAGTCCTCCTAGTATCTCAACCCCAAAAATGAATGGCAGGACAGTTGAGGTATGCTGAGATGACAGATCTTTAAAGGCAAATTTTTGACAGATCTTTAAAGGCAAATAAAAATTGCAAATTAGGATGCAGAGGGATGCAGAAGAAAGTGTTCATAAGATCTAGAACTTTAAACCATTCTGCTTCCTCTATTATCTGGGAGAGTGGAGTATAAGGATTAGGTACAACTGGATTGTTGGAAACAAGCCTCCCAAAATCTGGCCATAAACTGGCCATAAACAAAATCTCTGCAGCACTGTGACATGTTCATGATGGCCATAAAGCCCACACTGGAAGGTTGTGGGTTTACCGGAAGGAGGGCAAGGAACACCTGGCCCGCCCAGGGCAGAAAACCACTTAAAGGCCTTCTTAAGCCACAAACAATAGCATGAGCAAAATGTGCCATAAGGACATGCTCCTGCTGCAATTAACTAGCCCAACCTATTCCTTTAATTTG